CATTTGAAACATCTATTTTGAACCTTGTAGTCGCGCCCTTTAAATGTCATCCATAATTTCAAGACGACCATAAGCAAAACTAATGTTGGAAATCTCTTGCCCCACATCAAATGCGCTCATTTGACCATAGGAGACATCATAAGAGGTATTTATTCAAAAGAACGTGAAATGTCTTCAATTACAAGTGTGCCCTTCCCTAGGTCTACCTTGAACATTTTGATGGGAGACACCTTCATTTTTCTAGATGAGGAAGCTCTCAATATGTTGTTGGGCTTTACATAATGACCTTAGCCTTTCCACCATACTTTCTTTTCTTAGATGAGAGGATAAGTACCCCAAATCGATCATTCTTTGTGTTGGTGCAGTTGTCCCCACCCTCTTCATCCTGACCTTGTCCAAAAACGCATTCCTTTGTGCTAGCAAAATAGGGATCATCTTTTCTGTATAAAATCATCAAACAATGAGCTAGAAATTATGACAAACAAAGGACAAGAATAAAGGTATAATATAAACTTATGCAAGAGAGCATCAAGTCCCACTTTATTCCCTTCCTTATTCATTAACTCCCTAACATTTATGAGGTATGTATATGTTCTAAGAGGTCAACCCTATCATTCTCATATTCAATTAGGTTATCATAGTTGAAACCCATTATTGACACTTGACCCCCTACTAGTTAAGGGAAAACCTAGGGACTCCCTCGTTGTAAAACATGACACTGATATAGTTGGCATCACTCTACAATCGAAAGAAGTTATTTTTTCAATTCTTATATTTCGAAGAGTGGAGAGATAATAGCCCCTTATTCGAGATGATACTTACAAAAATCCAATTTCTTCTATCTGTCCCTTTTATTCCATAGAAAGAAAAACATCTATTTAAAGTAGGCGTAATCCTCAATCCCTATAATCGCCCTTTATTCGAGATGCTGCTTATAAAAATTCAATTTCCTTTATTGACCCCTTTTGTTTCGTAGAAAGAAAAACATTCTCTTAAAGTAGATGTAATTCCCAGTTCCTTTGTTGACCTCTTTCTAATTATATTTTAGATATCACAAACTAAAAGACATTAAAAGACAATTGCTTGCCTTATCTTATGCAAAGTATATAGAATTATACTATTACTAACAACAAGTATATAATCAAATAACTTTCCATATGAACATTTTCATCTTCTAAAATATTTAAAGATGATGATTGATGCAATGTTAAAAAATATTAAATTTAATATATTATTTTCGATTTTCAGTAACAGGTGGATTATATATTCAGGTACAATACTTGCATAACTTGTTTTATAATATTTTAAAAATATTTTAGAACATATATTTTGTTAGTTTTTTTCGGTTATGATACTACTTATCTTATCTGAAATCATTGTGACAAAGAAAGTTAAAAACTTGCAACATGTAAACAAGATAGAATGGCTTTTGCGTGCAAACAAGCACTGAAATAATCTCTTAAAAAGCTTCTACTTGCAGCATAGTACACGCTTCATATATATTGCTTAAATTTCTCACATCAAGTTAATAGCTATAACTTCCATCATTATAAATATAAAATGATTTATATCAGTCTGCAGGTCCATCCCGTTCCGTTCTCATTTTTAATATAAGATTAGTTAAAATTTTATATTTGTATATCCCTTTATATTTTGATAAACTTTTATAAAACGGATTCTAAGTAGAATAGACATGCTCGTTTGTCATCTATACGTGTAACGCGTTTGAAATATTTTTAGGGTTCGCAAATAGTAACTTATGTGTGAAAATAGTTAACTCCATTTGTTAAAATGAGGAATGACATGATACTCCAATTTGTGAGGCTAGTGTTTGTCTAAGTCGTTGTACTTATTACTTCTTGTTTTTCTTTTATTTTTGTAGCACTAAATATAATAGTGGGAATTATCTTGAACGGTTTCACAAGAGTTAATGTATGGCTAGAAACACCTCTTTAGTTTGCGTACTATGCTTCTAATTTAACAATTCCAATCAAACTCTTAATTTGAGTTTGGATTAATTTATCTTTTCTTAATCAAATTATTGAATTCAGGTTCATTGACAGGCCAAATATCTGAAAGTCCAAATTATATGATCTTAAATAATTCAAAGTTAATCGAAATAATATTTATTAAAACTCATTGAAATAGAGTAATGTTCACTAAATTATTTATTTTGGCATTATTTCCTCAATAAATGATTAAATATCCATTACCAACCGATCTCCAAAAAGTCTATGACAAACGCAATTTTTAATCATGATTATAATTTTGGATATTTTATTTGAATCAAATAATTTTGGATATGATTTCTATCTAATACTAATAATTGCATTGGGTTAAGTGTAATGCATTATGTGTGTTTGATTTGGGTGTACGGCATAAAATTGATTTGAGATGAGTTAGTTTTAGTTATTCTTTCCATTTTAAATTATAATAAGTTGATTTTTAAAAAAAAATTATTCTAAATTATTAATTACTTTATAATTATACTAAAGTATTACAATTTTATTTTATCATATTTTATCTATTTTTTAATTTGAATATTTTTATGAAAGATACTCACAGTTTTAAAATGATTATTCCTTCGGTTCTATAACGAGTGATTCAGTTAATTTTTCACACAAGTTAAAAAAAAAGATTCAGTTAATTTTTCACACAAATTAAAAAAAAAAAAAAAGAGTAAGTGAAAGAAAAAGAATGATATTTTTACTAAAGTATTCTTATCATGTATTGAAAATGATAAAAATAATTAATTTGAGAGTAAAATTAAAAAAAAATGTTGGAAATTGAAATGAATTATTTATTTTGGAACACTAATTTATTCTAAATAGGTCATTCATTATGGGACGGATGGAGTATCATTTAAGATTTTTGCATAGAATTAAAGAATGCAATAATATTATCATAAGATATTGTATTTTTACTAAATTAACTTTATTAATGTATTGAAAATAGTATACAAAATAATGATTAAAGGACACAAATAGAAAAATAATCATCATTTCTACATTGAAAAGTGAGAATGACATTTATTTTAAAACATTTTTTCCTTAGAACAATCGTTTTGAAATGAATGGAGTAATATTTGTTAGGGAGTTCGGAGAGCGCAGAAAGGGTTAATGGACCAAACATTCAAGATTTAAAAGACATTGACACCACATATACAAACAAAATCTTAAGGCAATGGGGATATGAGTTACCTCTCTAATAAACTCAACATTTTCTCAATTCCTAGTCGATGTGGGACTTTAGTCCTTTCACATTTGAAACTCAATAATCTCCTCCACAAGTGTGAGTCACCCACATCACTAGCCTTGATTAACACTAAGATCCACTTCCTCTCTTCCACCGAGTCAATCAGGACTCTGATATAAATTGTTGGAGACTCAGAGGAGCGGGGTTCGGAAGTGTCAATGAGTTAAACATTGGGATTCATGAGACGTTGACGTCATATATCCACCCAAAAGCCTTGAGGTTTTGGGTGGTTATGTGGTGTTGACGTCTCTTGGTTCCATAAATGTTTAACTCATTAACACTTTTGGTGTTCCTCAGACTCTCCAGCAAATGGTATTAGAGTCTGGTTAGCTTGATGGGAGAACGAAAGTGGATCCTAGTGTGGATCAAGGCTAGTGATGTGAGTGACTTACACTTGTGGAAAAAAATTGTTGGATTTCAAGTGTGAAAGTGTTAAAGTCCCACATCGACTATGAATGGAGGAAATGTTGAGTTTATAGGAGAATCGATCCATACCCCATTACCTTAAGGTTTTTGGTTTATATGTGGCGTCAAGGTCTCTTGGATCCTTAATATTTGATCCATTAACACTTCAGGACCTCGCTCCTCAAACTTCTCAACAAGTGGTATCAGAGTCCCGATTGACTCGGTAGGAAAGCGGAAGTGGATCAAGACTAGAGATGTGGGTGACCCACACTTGTGAAAAAGATTGTTGAGATTCAATTGTGAATGATTAAATTCCACATCGACTAAAAATGACAGAAATATAGATATATAAGAGAAATGACTTATACACCTAATACCTTAAAGTTTGCGTGAATATGTGGTGTCAATGTCTCGTAGACCCCGAACATTTAACCCGTTAATACTTCCGAGAGCGAACAATATTATGAGTATTTTATAATTCTTCATTTCGATGCAAACTAATTATATTTTAATCATATAAAATAGTCAAAAGTTAGTATAATTTAAAACAAAGAAAGTAAAAATAAGTAGAATGTGAGTAATTATACTTAATTAATTTATAAAAAAATTGGATTAAACATTAAACTCCAATGTACAAATAATATTTTAAATAAAAAACTATAAATTATAAATGTAAGTTAGAATTAATTTTAGACATATTCAATTATATGTTTTATTTCAATTATGTTCAAACATATTTCACACTTCTAATTTCGTCACAACTTAGACTAGACTATTTAGACCTTTAAAGAAACTAGTTTTACAATAGGTGGTGAGACATCCATTTTCTTATTTGTCTATTTAAAAGAATGTTGATCCATTATCACATGGCTTTTAAGTAACTAAATTGTATGGTTAATTAAGAAGGTCCAAAACTAAACTTTCCTCTGATATGACCCAACTTTGTAAAGATGTTGTTTTTAAGGTTTCTTTAACTCACCCATCAACTTAATCAAGTATTAATTAAACGTTACCATCATAATTTACTTGACATTAGTGAATGTAGTGCGGTAACATGTTGTATCCACAAATAACCATAATTAATTTATCCACAATATAAGCACAAGTCTACTAGCTTCTTTGTGGTACCACAATTGTGAGGTCAATAATGTCAAAGAAAGTTGCTTAGTGGAAATTATGCCGTCCAAATTAGGCTTTTGTTCTACTCTTTCTCTTCCCACAATTAAGTTAATTAATTGACTTGTGCACTCCAAAAAATCTCTATATAAAGCTTTCAAAATTCCATCTCCAAACACATCACAACTAGCAATAGAGAAGTGACATTTCAACTTGTGTTAGATATGGCCACCAACAACCCTTGCACTCATTCCTCCTTCCTCTTTTTTCTATTGCTTCTACTACATTTTACTTTAGGTACATTTTTTTTCCTTTTTTTTTTTAATGAAATTTATACATATGTTTCAATTGAAAAATTACATGCAACTTTCATGTGTTTCACTCATAATAGTTATTATTGAATGAAAAAAAGACATTACGTAAAATCAAATGTGAGTTTTTCAAAACTAAAGTAAATTATCATTCTCCGTATTTTTATTATTATTAATGATAAAGACACGGAGAATGAAAGCATGAAATGTTGATTGATTTGAAATAATTTATAATTGTAGAAATTTCAAATTATTAAGTTGGTGACATTTTTTAAAGAAATATGTGGTGGAATTAATATCAAATTAATTTGTAACCAACTTAGTAGTTGAAATTGTAGCATTAATTAACATGTTCTCTAAATAATAATGCTATGTATTTTATATGTATATAGGAAAAAGCCAGCTACAGGTGAATTATTACTCTAGCAGCTGCCCAAAAGCTGAAGAAATCATCAAGCAACAAGTCACTGCCCTGTATCATGAGCATGGAAACACAGCCATTTCATGGGTTAGAAACCTCTTCCATGATTGCGTTGTTAAGGTGAGCACAAATATTCGTAACATCAGAGTCGTTTTAAGTTTTTAGAATTTTGGTCTAGATTAACGACATTTTCACCGTGACAAAATAAATAGAATATTAAAAATATTTATGCAGTCATGTGATGCGTCCCTGCTTTTAGAGACGGCGCATGGTGTAGTATCGGAGCAGACATCAGAGAGAAGTTTCGGAATGAGAAACTTCAAGTATGTCAACACGATCAAAGCGGCCGTTGAGAAAGAATGTCCTATGACAGTGTCATGTGCTGATATTGTTGCTCTTTCGGCTAGAGATGGCATTGCCATGGTAAATAACTGATATGTTTACTATTTCTATCGGTCAGATATATCAGTTATTCAATAATTATTTAATAAATTTGAAAAAAGAATATTTAGTGATTGATTTGTATCTATACTTTAATTAGTTGGGAGGTCCTTCAAATATTGAAATGAAGACAGGAAGAAAAGACAGCAAAGAAAGCTACGTAGCAGTAGTGAAAGACTTGATTCCAAACCATAATGACTCCATATCCTCAGTGCTATCTCGTTTTCAAGACATTGGCGTTGACCTTGAAGCCACAGTTGCTCTTTTAGGTACAAAACACATTCTTGCATTTATTTCTGTTACAACTCATGCATAAACATAATTAACCACCTTTTCGTTATTATGTGTTTTGTTTTAATCACCTAATAATTCAACTTTTTATTGATCACTTTTCATCAACCAGGAGCACACTCAGTTGGAAGAGTACACTGCATGAATCTGGTCCACAGACTCTACCCAACAGTGGACCCAACACTAGACCCAACACATGCTTCATACCTAAAACGTAGGTGTCCAACACCAAATCCAGATCCAAAAGCTGTCGAATATGTGAGGAACGATCTGAAAACACCTATGATTATTGACAACAATTACTACAAGAACATTTTACAAAACAAAGGTCTTCTCACTTTGGATGCAGAGTTAGCCACTGATCCAAAAACAGCACCTTATGTACAAAAAATGGCAGATGATAATGGTTACTTCAATGAGCAGTTTTCAAGGGCTATTGTTTTGTTGTCGGAGAATAATCCTCTTGTTGGAGATGAAGGTGAAGTTAGAAAGGATTGTCGCTATGTTAATGATAAATAAGTATGTAATTAGCTAGATTGATGTTGCTCGTATTTTGTGTGTTTGATTTTATATGCTTAGAATAATTAATGTCATTGGGCTTAGCTTTATTTGCTTGTACTTTATTGTAAGTTGTTCGTGGATATGTTACTTCACCCTACAAAACCAAATTATATTATAAAAAAAAAAATCACCTTTTCATGGATACATTTGTTTTTAGTCTACCGTTCTTTGATTCTCATATTTTAATGTCACATGATGTTTTGTTTTTATGTGTTTTATAGGATATTTTTGGAGAGAGTTTTTCGTTGTAAATCTCAAATAATTATTTATGGGGTGATATTTTCTCGTCATAAACTTAGAAATATTAACTAAATTTATGTTTCAAATGTCAAAGTTCTACAATTTTAAACTCAAATTGATATTGAAAATATTACAATTGAAAATGGAGAAAGGTTTTGTTAAAACATAAAAAACCTCGAGAGCTATTCACAAGGGATGATGATACATTTATGTAATCATCGCTCAATGTTTCAAAGGATCCATTTTTGCTACTATTTTATGGTTTTTATTCCACTTTTGTCTAATTTGATTTTTATATATAGAATGAGAAATTGCTGCTCAAATATGATGAGTTTTGTGCTCATTGACATTGTTATTTATTATTTGGTAATGTATGAACGACTAAACACAATATTTATGTTGTCCTCTTCATGTGTATGTATGATTCAATAAAAATCTTGTAAAAAATCAAACCAACTCAAACTGTATATTTTGGTTTTGTTCAATTTTATTTATAAAAGTCAAGCGAACCAAACCAAACCTCATATTTTTTCTCTTGCGTTTGGATGAATTTTAGTGTCAAAAACGCCCAAACTGCACTGCAAACACCTCTACCTTCGGGTAAGAGTCAAAAAGATTTTGGGATTCTATCTAATTGAGCGGGGAATCAAAGCAAACCTCGACAAGTGCAAATAAGTGGTTCGAATGAGCGCTCCAACCTCATAGAAAGAGGTCTAAAAGTTAAATGGCATGTTGGACTGCTTTGAACGTGTTCATTTCATAACCAACCAGCAAAGTTACCTTTTTACAGGTTGTTGAGGAAGGAGGCCAAATTCGAATGGACTCTAGACTGTGAAGAGGAGTTTGAGTCATTGAAGAAAACTATTGTTACGCTGCCAGTGCTCACTCAACCGTTCATGGGAGAAATATTGTATATGTGCCTAGCAATCGCGGGGGAGGCAACTAGCGTCGTCTTGATTAGAGAATCCAAATCTAACCAGAGCCATGAGTACTTTATATCGAAGGCCCTAGATGGGGTAGAAAAGCAATACCAGAGGATTGAGAAAGTAGCCTTGGCATTGGTGACGACATCACACTAGCTCAAAAGGCATTTCTTTGCACAATTATGGGTGAAATGACCCTCGTACCTCTAAAGCGAGATCAAACATATGCAATAATCATGGACGAATCATCTTAGAACTGAAGAAGCGGTATAAGCATAATATTAGAGAACAATTATGGGCTATTAGTAAAAGTTTCATTGAGATTCGAGTTCTTGACCACCAACAATCAAGCAGAGTATGAAGCGGTGATTGTAGAAATGACCTTAGTTGGAGAGATGGGGGTATATTACATTTAGATGATAACAGACTCTTAATTAGTTATCTCTATGATAAAAGGGGAGGCCCAAGCAAGACCCATTATTGCAACGATACCTCAAGCTAGCTACCGAAAAGTTGGAAAGATTCAAAGAATTCAAAATCGCTTATGTTCCACAAGAAGAAAACACTTGTGCTAATGTACTATCCCAGTTGTCTAACAAAAAGGACCCCGAGATTAATCACCCTTTCGTCCAGAAGACTAGAAAAATCCTAAGCATTAAAGTCCCGAGGGAAATAGTATCAGCCATAGCTTGCACTGCCTCATCATCTTGTATGTCCCCAATACAACAGTACATCGAGATAGGGAGTCTTACGTAGGACCCTTCTAAAGATGCCCTGATAAAGATAATGGTTGGTGAACATAATGTCATTAGAGGTACTTTAAATAAAATAGGCTTATCTACACCATTACTGAAATGCCTAGGGAAGGAGGAAGCCTCTTACGCCCTTTTAGAAGTACACGAGGGGATAACCAGGCAGCATCTCAGAGCCCATGCATTGGCCAAAAAGATTCTAAGGGAAGGATATTTCTAGGCGACCATGGTTTGGAACGTCCAGGAATACATGAAAAAATGTGACAGATGTCAGCGAAATGAGATGTCTTTAATGCTCTATCTACATAGCTCTATGTTCTAACATCCCCATGGCCATTCCTGCAATGATGATTGGACATCCTCAATCTGTTTGCCTCTACACAGGGGAAATCCAAGTATTTGATCATAGATGTGGAATATTTTACCAAGTGGATCGAGGCAAAAACACTTGAAAATATCATTGTAGCGAATAACCTAAAGTTCTTCAAAAGGAAAATACTAGCTAGATTTGGAGTCTCCCAAGCCATTGTGGAAGATAATAAAACACAGCTAATTGATAAAAGCTTGAAAATCCTAATGAAGGAGTTAAGGATCAAATAAAACTTCACTTTGGTGGAGCTTCCTTAGATGAGCAGGCAAGCCAAAGTAGCCAATTTGGTGCTAGTTAGAGGCCTAAAGCGGAGACTAAAGGACGCCAAGGGTAATAGGGCCAAAGAACTTCCACATGTCTTGTGGGATTATCACACAACTTCCTAGTCAAATAGAAGAGAAAACCCTTTTCCGGCATACGTACAGTATAAAAGAGGTTATTTTAGTAGAAATTGAAGAGATGAGTTAGAGGATGGCTAACCTTTTACTGATAGAAGATAATCACAAAGTAATTAGAGAAGAAGTCAAACTTTTAGAATAAAAAGGATGATACCCTCTTTCAGTGTTCTGTCTTTCTATATTTTTAGGATTAAAGAGGGAAAAAAGATTAAACGCATTTCTGCAAAGTTTGCACACTCGTCTTCAAAACTAGCCACCCGAAAGGCATAGGTGGTAGAGCACATACATGTCCACTTTGATCCGAGTCATAAATCGGGGACAAGTACATGAATCCTACCCTTGGCAGAGGATGGTCTTTTATGACGCAAAACACTTAACGAAGCACTTGTCTGACAATTATTACAAAGTTATGACCATGTCTTATTGATCCCCGCTAAGGGAAAAAGTTCCACAAGGAAAAAGACATACATAAAAGTGAAAGCTAAATACAACAGATATACCCTGGAAAAAAATTCATATAAATTACATAGCAACGATAGATTACAACGAGTCAGTTCAGGCGATAAAACTTAAAGGAACAATGAAAAGCCCGGAGATTAGGGACAAGCAGCTCCAGTTGGCACACCACATTTGTAAAGGTAGTTTCTTCCAGTTTATTGATGAAGGCCAAATATGAATTAAAATGAACCATCTTTCTTGGCATTTTTCAACTCTTTTCTTAAGTCTTTCATTGATTTATTCCATGTTCTTGTGAGATTCTTCAAGATAATTGATTTTACCTTTGGATGCCTTGATATTTGTGCTATTATGTAGGAAATTGGTTGAATCATCAAAGAACAAGACACATTTGAATGGACAAGTGTCACTACTCGAAAAATGCAACAATGGGGAGGCAAAAAGAAGGACAGAAGAGTCGCCACCGAACTTTATTTATCCCATGAGGGGAAAGGAAAATATCGATAAAACCTTAAGAAAGAAACGGATAAGATGGTCTCGCGACCAAGAACGGGTTCGAAAGCCGGTTATGCGAAAGGAAGGTATTAGCACCATTCGCATCCATCGTACTCGATGGGAACCATTTGTTTGTCGATGTGTGAAGGTATTTGCTAAAAGATTATTTCTAAATGAGTGTTCCAAAGGGATAAAGAGAAAGGTTAGAAACCGGGGAAGGGGAGGTAAAGGGGGGAAGAAAGGACTCGGTAGGACTTCGCGGTCTTAGGCCTACGTATTCTCAACATATATGAGAAAGTCAGAGTCGACGTGGTTCAGGGAACTGCGGATATAGGGGGAAATATGTTCGCCAAGACATCGTCGTCTTATGCCTACGTATCCTCATATGACATGAGAAATCAGAGCAAACGTAGTTCGGGATTAAGGTTAACCGATGTTTTCATGGATGATGTTATCGTGCGCATTCTAGCAGTTTAGGCATATTGCTGCTCGACCATTGGAGACTTAGGCGTTACCTGTTTGCGGTAGAACGGACGTAACATATCCTTTTTTGAAAGATTAGGTTTCTCCATGCGAGGCAAGGTGTCACGTTTGATTTGTGGAATTGATTTTAGGGGTGAAATATGTCATCGGATAGTAACCCCTTGCGGGTACCCAATTCTTTATCTCAAAGTTTTTGTTATGAAATGGTGTGGCGAACGTAGCGTCTTCGTATTGAAAGACGAGTATCAAGACCACACACACTACAATGAGTATCCTGACACTTGGAGAGGAAGAAGTCTATACTCAATCCTCTCTCTTTAATTCAATACAAAGAGAACTTCATTCTCTTATTAAAATGTTTTTGGTTTTGAATGGTAAGTGCTTTGTGACGGTAAACCCTACGGTAAATGTCAAGCACTCGGGATAGGAGAATGCGTACGCCTAACCACTCTACGACCATTCAAGTTTTTGTTGTGAAAATAACTTTGAAAAAGGCACTCGGCACAGGACCGAGGTTTTAGGAGAGTGTGATGTGGTGAATACGGTTACGTCTTCGTATTGAAGGACGAGTATCGAGACCACACACTCTACAACAAGTATCTCGACACCCAGAGAGGAAGAAGTCTACACTCAATCCTCTCTCTTTAGTTCAATACAAAGAGAACTTTATCCTTTTATTAAAGATGGTGAATTGGTTCAACAATTGTTTAAGAAAATCCGCTTGATGTTGGATCAAGGGTTTGATTGCTTAAAAAGTTTGAGGTGATACGAACAAGGTTGATGGCGATGCACAAGGCAATCGACTTACAAGGTAAAAAATGGCTCGATGTGAATCGAGAGT